AATTTTTTATTATAGTAGTGAGATACTTGTTCAAGATTTACTATCTATTTTCTAGACATTGATCGCATCTGAGGCAAGGAGGAGATGCTTGCTAAGCTTTGAACACATTTCTTTTATTGGATATTKTATTTATTAGATGMTGCCCATATTGTCCATTTACGAATCCACAAAGAAAACACCAATGGGATTAATGAAGTCTTTTGTCATTTGTTGGCAGTAGGTTGATGGATAGAATTCTGTCATTTTGTCGTGCACTACGTTCACTTCTTCAATAATTACTCTGACTCGTCTCGGTGCCGACCCATCCTTGGAGCCCGAGTTGGTATCTTGAATAATGGAAACTTCCATAATTCCCTCTTCGGTACTTTTAATTGTTGTATCCCAATTWGCAAGAATCGTCACCTTGACAGTATCATCTTGAATGCTAGCAGAACTGATGTTAGGTCCCTTTTCAGTCGATACCAACGTGTGGGTGTTGTAAAAACAGCTACCGTCTGGATTTCTCACGCCAGGAAATTTGAGACGCAATGCTGTCTCAACATTTTCGGCGTCTGTGCTCCATTCAGTTAMGACGAGATCAGTTACCCCGTCGTGTTGATAAACCTTTCGGTGTCCCCTGAAGGCACCAGAGACGATGTCTCCACCTGTATCAAGAGAAGAACACGATTCACCTTCTGAATCCTCTGTGAGTATCGCTTCGGCTTCATCTGAGCTAGGGTTTTTGGAAACGTATTCCTCCGAAAAGGGTTTTGATACCAATGCATGATCAGCTGTCAAACAGAGCTGATCTTTTGGAAGTTTTGGTATTGATCGGACCTTCTGGTTGGTGTGGTCCCATCCAAGACCATACTTTTTGGCATAGGCCCATCGACACATTCTGCACGTTGGAYCTATGGTTGTAAACCCATATTGCTTTTCGAATTCTGCAATTGCATCTTTATCATCCCTCCATTTTTGGTAGGACTGCCACTTTGCCTTGTCCGAGGAAATYGTTTTTACCATCTCGGCAAGATCGGAGAATGCATTGAAATTGTTTCCATTGAGGAAAGAATTTGGTGGGAGTCGTTCCGCAATATTTTCTGCACCTATTATCACCGGAACGGCTCCCGAAGCTAAGGCTTCCCACACCATACTGCTWATATGGTCCTTCGCTTTCACTTCATCGAAGGCTAGCACAACTCGGTACTGCGCCATCAGAGCAATGCGGCCCTCAGGTGTGGCTGTTGTCATTCCTTCTGGAACTTCAATGTTATGACCRCATTGGCCGTACGCATCGACATCCATTTTTTCTTGCACTGCTTCAAACCATCTATTGCGTTTGGTTTCTTTCGTAGAACATTTACTATCCACCAAGTAAATTGCCTTGTCTTTGACAGCGTCAAAATCTACTGCAGTTCGATGRGTAAAATCGAGGTTTTTTTCGTCAAAAGTCGACAAGGGGACCGCAGACCACAAAGATTGYGTCGAATAATAATGATCGTTCCTAAATGCATTCCGTTCCAATTTGATGTTGTTTTGTTGGTTTTGAATTGTTGACACCTTCCATCTCTCGCCGTGGATGAAACTGTCGGTGCGATCCTTGAGCTCAAAGCCCTTTTCTATTTCGCACGGAATATTGCACTCTACTTTTTCAACATCGCCATGCTTAATTGCCTTGTCGGCCCTGGATTTGATAATKATGGGAGGCATGTGATCTCCCGTGATAGGTGGTACTTCCATCGGGAACAAATGTGCGATTGGATCTGTGCAATGAGTCGTCATGACTACAGCAGATTTCGGCCCGATCTCTTGCCCACACCAAGTTCGAGCAAATGACTCGGAGTTATAGGCAACCAGTGGTGTATCAGAATCCAGACATTTGGGGTTGATCATCCCGTCACCTTTCTTTTCACAGGCAATCACTGACTTCTCGTTCACCATCTCGGCCACSGTACGAGAAGGATCCTTGGCGGRRGTCTCTAGATTTCTATAGGATGGATTCTTTCGTTCGTTTACAAAATCCTTGACATATCCAACGTTGGTAGGCCCTGTTCCCTTTTTCTCAACAACAATGGGGTTAAGGCCATCGCCTGGATGGGCTTTG